ACCCTTTCAAGAATAGATTCCTCCTCCGCCAACCTTGAAGATGCCGTCGGCGAAGACGAAGAGGCTAAGGACTCCCCGCCAGTCCGGATTGCGTGCCGGACTGGACTTTCCTCTCGACATTCACGGTTCAGGTTCTTCACTCTGCCTCGGAGGTTTCACATAGGGCATGATTGGCTCTGGTGGTTGTTTTCCTGTGATGTGATGTTCAGGTCGAGTCGGATCCGGCGCTTCTTCTAAGGCCAGAATAGCCCTCTCAGCATTCGGATCTGTGCGAACAGCAATGCGAGCATGTTGGATTTGCCCACCGTCCCTCAACACATCAGTGTCATAGTCCTGAACGGTGGTGCCTCAATTGGCATGAGAGGAACGGAGGGGGCCCCCCAAGGCCATGCACTGTTTCCGAAGTCGTTCTTCGCCCACATAGTGTGCAATCCCCACTCTCCTTCATCAACAGTCTCAGCCGCCTCTTGACCTGCTGGACTTCATTCTCAATTCGACCATTTGACGGTCCTTCATCTCCTCCAGTCATGGTTCGGTATAGTCCAATGCGTCGGCAGAAAGCTTGAAGGGTCCTTGAAGCTACATTCTCTGTCTGTGTGAACCGAAGCGCCTGCACTCCCATCGATCGGAATCTGCAGAAGATGCAAGTGGCCACCTTTGTGACATCCTGTTGGGATCGGCTTTCCAAGGGCTCCACCACCGTGATGTTCTGGAGACCCGCCGGCTCTTGATCTTCTTCCAACTCCAACGCAGGTAGATCTTCTTCATCAGGGTGATGTTTTTGAGGATCAGGAGGGTCACCAGGTTCTCCTTCCTCTCGTGCCAGCCTCGGAACTGCGACAGTGGCAACCCTGATGTACTTGGCCTTCATCCCCATTCCATAGTCCTCCCCCATGGGCATTCACCCCACGATGTCGTAGGAGAGACATGGAGAGACAATGAGCTGCGCGATCTCCCTCGGTCCTGCGATGTTGTGCATCCACCCCATCATTTCCATGCCTCGACGACAATCTCGACGGTAGGGCTGGCGCTGATTTCGCACATGAGTTTTCCATCCCTCCATGTCAAGGCGCCTGACCGCCGCTGCTCCAACTTCATCATCCGGGTTCAAGGAGTTCAGCTTGATCAGGCACCTCGTGAGGTTCTCTTAGATCGAAGCGACCAAGCCCGGTGCCCACGCTGACCACCCTCTTGACTGTGCTAGGCGAGCTTCCAGGTTCCAGCCACCTCTTGACCGGATCCTTCTCCAGAAATGCCATTGAGTTCCATCATCTCTGGCGTATTCGCCACCATCAATGTTGTCAGTGCTGGAAGGTCCAGAATGACGGCGTGTCCTGCTCCTCGACTTCCTTTGGCATGTATGTCATAGAGGTCGCGTCTTTTCCCTGTCCGGGATAGTTTTCCTGGCTTCATCAGCCATGATCCACAGTCCTGCTTGTTTCAGGAGAAGTGCTACATCTCCCACGGCAAGGTCAGTCTCTGCTCAGTCTTGAGCGACCAAATCTCCTATCATCCCTTCCCCTCAACGGCCTCGGTCCAGGAGGACGATGACGCAACCGCGACACACTTCTGCACGGGTGTCCTCCCAGCACCGCTACTACCTGGCCACTTCTTGCAAGATGGCACAGGTAGCTCCAAGTTCCCACTGCATGGAGGTCATACTGGGAGCCGTTGACAATGTCCACGTTGATGATCTCGTATTCATGCCAGCTCCTCGATGTCCGGACCTTCGTGTCACCCCCACTGATGTCTGTTCCGAGGGCATGTTTCAGGATCAAAGTTCAGCTGACCGTTCATGTAGTTCCAGGTCTCATTCGGCACTTCCGGAAACCTTGAAGACCACCACTGCTGAATTTCTTCGTTCATCAACAGCTCACCCCTGTCCGACTTCTCCATGACACGCAGGCGAGCAAGTGCTTGTCGTTCAGGCAAAAGCGGGCAGCCTCTTCGTAGGGTGCAGTCAACCCTCCCATACTCCGGATGCGAGATCTTTATCCAAGCTTCACGAGCCGATGGAGCGGCGCAATGACCTCCACAGGTTCCCGCGACAAGAGGGTGTTGTGCATGTTCCTTGACTTTGAACAGGGTGACAGACCCTGAGGCCAATTCAACTCGTACTGGAACCAGGTGGGGTAGCTCATGGCGGCGAGCTTCTCGAAGTCTGTTTGTAGCACCTCCGCCCAGGAGCCCAACGGCGCCACCACTGTCAGCCCCTTTCGGTCTGAGTTCCTTGACTCGTAGCACTTTCATGCTCTGCAATGTTTTGAGCAAAGACGTTGCCTCCGACAACAGCTCGGCTGTGGCCGTAGTGTCCCTTCCAGGTGACTTGTCAGCAATGTCCCCAACTCGCGAGGTTCCAGGTCGATCCCGCGGCTTTCTCATCTGGCTCACCCAGGCCATGACCACTCTTCTCTCCCGATTCAGCCTTGTCAGACTCCTTGGGGTTCGTCACCTTGGCCACCTTCTTGGAGTCGGACTTGGTGCCTTTGAGTTGGTGAGGACAGTCCTTCTTCATATGTAGTCCACCACAACCATAGCATCGTCCCTTCATCTCCGTAGTGTCATGGACATAGGTGGATCCAGAACCCTTCTTGCATCCATCATCACTTTTCCAGAACTTGCATGCTGGCTTTGACCCCGTGCGCTCTTCTCCTTCTTTTCCTCCATAAGCCGACGCCATCGCCTTCAAGGACGTAGAAATCGACTGAGTTGGAGTCTGAGGCCCTGCAGCTTTGTGGGCGTCGTCAAGGACATGTCCTCCTGCGCGTACTCCGCCAGCTCCCTGACCGACGGCAAGGTGGCTGCATGATCAACCTTCAGCTCCTGCCTGGCATTGGCCAGTCGAGAGGACAACTGCTGCCCCGATCTTCGTTGCAGCATCAATCATCCTCCGGATCTGGCAGGGACAGACCTAGCTCTTCGGCTCTTCCCAACCACCTCCTCCACAGCCTCGCCTGAGTCAGAAGGTCGTTGATGCCCGCCGTGAACTTGGCCTCAACCAGATTCTTCAACAATTGGGTCTTCTCTGCGCCACCGCCTGGTTGGTATATAGGCAATGTGCAATCGATAGAGGATGTGCGCAACCGACAACTGTCTCCCTGACGCCAGATCCCGCGTGCACCATCCGGCAAGCCCCCAACAGCATGGCGATGCCCCTCTGCTCAATCCGCTGAAAGGCAGCTGCCGCAGAGACCTCAGGTCGCTTTCGAATTCGCTCCAGCGGGGTCAGTGTGAGCCATTGTGTATAGTGATTCTGCGCCACACTCTAATGATTCCTCCCACCAGCCCTTCGCAGAGTTGGAGATATCCGCCACGAGGGAAATGCCATCGTCAACGAATCTCCAAAGAGAATAGATGCACCTTCCACATTGGGTGGAGGCAAGGAAGGCAGTTCCAAGTTGCTCAAGAACTCCGTCGTTGAAGCAACAGGCACTCCCTCGCCAATGCAGATAGGCGATGTTGGTCCTGCGGCCCCACCTTGTACATGAGATAGTCCAGGTGGTCGTTGAGGAGGAGCATGTAGATGAGGATCCCCTGCAGGTACTCCATGAGTTTCACTGGAAGCAGTCTTGAACGAGGTAGCATCACCGGACTCACGTCCAGCTGCAAGGCGTCGCGTTTCCCTCTCCATCCCAGCTACCTGAGTTGGCTCACAGCCAGGGGTGGTTGACTTGACACCCTCCTGAGCTGCTGGACTCCAAAATGGATTGGCAGGAGGTTGATATTGTCGTTCTGGTGTAGTTGAGGCTCCTGCTGCATAGTCCAACGCTCGAGGGGCCATCGAACTCCGAGGATCAAACTGTCCCCCCACCGGCCACGTTGCTCCAAGATGCCCTCCTTGATGTCCTTGATCAGCGCCAAGTGCAAGAGCTCCTAATAGTCCATGACCTTGCCCTTGAGGTGGCGGCATCTGACCGTGTCCAGGAAGAGGGCCAACTAACAATGTTGAAGTGCTTGCTAGGTCCTCTGCGTGGTTTCCTGAAGCGCGCCCAGCCCTCCTTGATGTCCAGCGGGATCACCATGTTGCTGTCCAGGAGGTAGTGTCACTGAGGGTCTCACCGATCGAAGCGTGCCCTCAATATCTCCAGTGCTCATGCGACCTTCTCGACCTTGGCTTCCAGGAAATCCCAGGCTCAAGGCAATCGGCGCTCCTCGAGGACCTTCAAGAGGCGGGGTTGACATTGACCTTCTCGGGCCAGCAGCCTTGGCACGCTGCTCTTCTTCGATCAAAGCGTCCAAGCGCCTGTCAGCTTCGCCAACCTCCAGCACTTCAGTTCTGGCCTCCGGCTTTGGCCTTCCATCCGCTTGCCCCGACCTTCGCCTGCGGTTCAAAGCCGCATTGCTGGCCATGGCACAGGTGTCAGTGGCTATGACCATGTTCACCTTGTTTGGTGTATGGTTCATGCTCTTTTGCAAAAAGGAAGTGCTATTCCTTGCAGTTTTGATTTGAGTTGGTTGATGATGATGCTGATGCTGATGAGGGTTGGAGAGTTGGACAGTTGAAGTTAGCAGCCGTTCTTTACGGAGAACATTTTTTCAGCAGCCGGAATATGCTCGACACCGTACAATCACAACATGCATTAACATGCCTCTATTTAATCAACGCAGGCTCCGTCTTGGATGTTGCTCTGGTCTACTAAATCAAATAGTATTGTGAAAATCTTGATGGTGCCATCTGGCCGGCCGGGAGGGAATTCCACGTCAAGCCACGACATTTCAAGGAAAGGGCAAGAGGTTGTGCGGACCTTCTCTTTCGTTTTCCTGCACTGTCTTCAAAGCGTTGAAACATGTTGAAACAGGGTAGGAAGTGCTCACAAGAGCTGCACAACAAAGATCGATAATCGATATGCTTGGGTTACGGCATACATGTTGCACTGGGACCATTCTCTGACAAGTCATGAACTCTACAACTGCTGCGCCATGCTGCCCCGCAATGGCTTCACTTGCTGAAGTAAACTGTCAGTTGTAGTTCTTGAGTTGGCTGTAACACGGAACGAGGCCTCCGGGAGCGGATGAGTTGGCGGCAAACGTTCTTGCCTGCTCTGCAGCTGCTCTGCAAGAAAGTGTCGGACGACAACGTGAAGCACACCATACTCAAAGGGATGGCTCGACTTGCAAGTTCCATGGAAGCAAAGGCTGTGCCTCGCTGGCCTCAAGCAAATCTTGCAAAGCAAACTGTGCCTCAGTGGTATGTACATCTGCGAGGGTACAGTTCAAGGTCGGGAGATGAGGAGCGGCGACATATAAACATATGGATTATCTGCAGTTCCTCAAAAAATATAGGCCAAAACCATTTGCCATCTCCTCTGCCAGGAATCTTCGGCTTCCTTAGTACGCGCAAATGGCTGTCGACAAGATCAACCGAAAATTGTGGGAAGCAAAGGAAGAACAAATGATGCATACGAGAGTGTCTATTGCCCCTGTGCCTCTGGGGCACTTTCTTCAGGTTCAGCTGGCTCAGCATCATCAGGCCTTATATATATATATACACTGTATACTGCAGCAACATTTTCCCAGGCTAGACCACTCTTTGAGGAAAAGGCCTCTCGATTTCGGCAAGGGCCTTGCAACATGCGATTGATGCGTGCAACCCTTGAAGGTCCGTGGTGCAGAATTCAACCCCTGCTTGGAAAAGCTAGCGTGTTGCACCTTTCCAGGCGCTGCGGCTCCAATCACACGGTCTTCTGCCTCCGAAAATGCTTTGTCTACAATCAAACGCCAAGATGCGGCAAAGTTTGGTCTTGAATCGAAGCATGCGCAAGCGCATGCGGGGATGATCACACCTTTCTATCATTCTATGTGATCCTGATAAGCATCAAAACTGAGAAGGATCGGTCACTGTTTGAGAACCAAACCGCAAGTGGATTGAACATTTATTCACGTCGCTTCGCGACGGTAACCGCCCTCGCCGCATGGGAAGGCTCAAAGACTGCAGTCATGCTCCAGGAACGGGTCAAGGTAGGTACTTCCATTGAACATAGCGCCAGAAGTCACCCCCCCCTAACGTGGAGCCAAATATCCGGACATTCAAGTCCCTATCTCGCGGACACGTCCTTTA